TTAGCTACACTGAGTGATATGGCTGGGTGTCGCAAAAAGTGGCGCTCGTGCATCCACTCGTTATTTTCCTAACACATTCTATCTGTATTCCCCATCTCACTCTATATGTATTCCCCATCTTCCGCTTAAATTCGCTTCGACATTCCAATCTTCATTTCGCTCTTTTATCCAAATGTGCAACCAAAACCGGCGCACGAAAGTGCATGGGTAATGGTTGTAAAACTGAAACTGATCCTGTTGTTTTGACGAAAACCTACGAAAAATGATGAGTTCCCAAATCGTCGAGCCTATTTCCTTGTGATTCTTTACTGAAACTGAAACCTGTGATTCCCACATTTAGTGCTTGAGCTGTTTTTAAACAAACGGGAACCGATTTTCAATACCTTACCAATTAAGACAACCGTTGATTGTGTCGACAAATTTCTTGGGCGACCCGAACGTTTTGGAATAGGTCAAAAAGTTCCTTCAGTAAAGCATCTCCATCTGTAAAAACCGTTGGCGGTAGCGTTTATGAACCGGGTTACCTGTGGTGTTTCAACCTCACCAATGCCCAGAGGTTCCCTGATTCCTTGGGTAGTGGCTTATGGAGGAAAGTAAGTAGAATAGACCATCAAACACTACGTTCCGTTTAGGTGGCGATCGAATGGGGGAAACGGTTTTGACTGGTTCAGGTGGCAACACAGGTTGCAGATTGGCCTACGATGTGCCCCATCATGTCATCTTGTTTGTGTTGCACCAATGAAGTAAAACAACTTTAAATACCGCAATTCGGAGCTATAGTCGTGCAAGATTATGTCCAAGGTAAAAATGCGTTTTCACGCTGAGGTCATACTTTTAGATGGCTCAATATAGCATCTCTCTTGTAGGAGCTTTAGACGGTTCTCCATCCAAGGGATTTCCGGTTTTCAAAACGAAATAACATTTTGCTGTGAGCATTCAGTCCTTTAGGCGTTAATCGTTCTGAGATGTGTAATCTTTGACGGCCATTTGAGCTAACACATGAGTGATTTATTCTGGAATTGATTTGGGGATCTGTTTACTACTGTCGAGGTTTCTGTTCAACAAGAATGGTATGAAACTTATGGCTGGACACTTAATGCACACTTTCGATTGAATGACGTTACCATCCACGTAGTTTTCTGTCTGTCTTGCTTAATTTCCTACCAAATGAAATTTGTTTTATTATTATTATTCGCTCACTAGATTTGATGATCTCTGCCTTTTGTTTATTCGACAGACCGACGAACTTCCCGCGGCTTACGGTGCTGATGATTCCTGGGCACGATTTGTGGGTCCCGTCCCTCCTCCATTAGGTAAGCCGAATCTGCTTTCTTTTTAAATGGATCTCAGGTACTCTTCACACTCACTTGTCACACGCTCTCATTGATGGTATTTGATTGTCGGTTATCTCATGAGCACCTGATTTCATCATCATTGTCATCAGGAGCAGCAGCAGTGTAAATTTGGCTATCACGTGTCATTCTTTCTCATTGATCTTCAAGCTCAGTTCGGTTTTAGTGCAAGTATCTTATTTTCACCAAGACCATCGTTGCGATAGTCGTTCTCGGTCATTAATCTTTAACTGTAGATTCTTGGATGAAGATCAACCCGTTTGATCATTTAATTGACTAACTTCCTGTGGGTTTTCTCAACTAGTTGTTTGCAATCTTCCCCGTCTATAAAACATGATCACGAATTTGATTTATCGTCAAATCAATTTGATGGTGATACACTTATCTGATATGTGTTGTGAGATACTACTCACATTTGTGATTAGTTTACGCACACCAAGAAGCGGTTGTTAGATTCTCACAGATATCGCGAGTGGACTGCGTAAAAATAACTTAGCAAATAAATAAACACTTTTCTTAACTTCGGTTCGCTTTCAAATAATCTCCGTGCACAGAATCATCTTGTTAATTAAGCATTGCTTGCCAGGGTCCCTTCAACATACCGGAGCATTCGTCGCAAATCTTGTACCTATCAGCTAGGCAACGAATCAAATTCCTTTTTTATCTTTATGGCAAAATACCGGAAATTTATGTGTTGGCCCTAAGTTGTCTTTCTATGAACCGAATCATCTTATCGACGAATGGTGCAAATAGTTTGTTGTTATTTTCCGTTTGTTTTGATGAACAACAATGAAAAAACTGTCTTGTCTGCGAATGTTTTCTTCAAAACTGTGTTCCGTTGGCTTTTTTAAACCAATCTTTCCATGATACATGATTCAACCTTAGGCTCAATATGAGACTCATTTGACACGCTTTGCAATGTTGAAATAAATTGAATAATTTCATTCTAAGGGGCCGTTCCTTCGAACTGTTTGCCAATCGTTTCTTTTTACTGGGCACTATTGTGACCAAGAATAAAAGGCGCAAACTCCATAGTCACTGTTCGCTTATGGGATGCGGCAACCTGGGATCCAGACTGACAAAGCTCGGCATGGAGTAGGCGTGGTGTTTTGCCGCCTACCACCATTTTTGAATGATGGTATCAGCGTTCGAACCTCGAACCTAAGAGCCCAAAGCAGGCTTGGGACAACGAATCGATCTGCGTGACCACCATCTTCACTGTCACTCTTACTGTAAAACTTTCAATCCTTTTTCACACTAATTACTGTGAGAACCACCATTCATGAACAACCCTTGCGGAGGACGTTCCTGCTGCAACGTTGAGCTGAACGAAACGGCCGGATTACACGAGCCCCGACCAGTGACAGCGG